TATGTTATATGTATTATGTACCATAATTCATGATATGTACATTAAGAAAATCATAAGGAGAGAAAATACACTTTCAGTATTTATTGAAAAAAATCTGCATATAAGTGGACCTGCACAGTTCAAACCCATGTTGTTCAAGAGTCAACCATATGATATATAATTATATATTATGATACATAATTATATATATTATATATAATCTACACTAATAAAAGAGAAACATGCAAATTAACTGTCCCTTCACAATGGCCACAAGCCATGCCCATCAGCCAATCAGGAGTGAGTATGCAAATTAGTGGGACAAAAACAGCAGCAGCCACGGAGCCAGCCAGAGCAGGCAGGAGGCTTGGGTCACCCAGGCAACAAAGGAAGCCAAGCTTCCCGCCTACCTGGCCAGTGCCGAGGGGCCTGTGGGTGGCAGCCACGGAGTAGGCCAGAGTTCAGGGAGGCTTGGGTTGCCGAGGACAACCCAAGATTCTCTCCCGCCCTAGCTGGGGTCTGAAGGAGAGGCCTTTGGGCACAGGAGGCTTGGGTCGCCAGGGCCAGCTGCTGAGAGAGGGGCCTGCAAACAGCCCTCAGCCATCACCCAGGCTGGCCACGCCCCCATGGGTGAGGGTCCCCTGTGAGATCGGGCCTAAACCGGCAGTCGAACATCCCTCAAGGGCTCCCAGGTTGGAGAGGGTGCAGGCTGGGCTGAGGGACCACCCCCCCCAATGCACGAATTTTGTGCACTGGGCCACTAGTATGTAATATAATTAAGCATGCTATTTTAACAGGGAAATATATTATTCTAATATATAGTATATTTTATTTTATAATTATATACTTTATAATTACATATTATTAAATAACTATATTATCTAATATGTTATGTGTTTTATGCCAAAGTATATATAATATATTTTTTATTACATGTTATATATTATATATAGTTGTATACATGTAATTCTAAGGGGAAAATGTTACATTTTTCTGTCTCTTAAGAGATAAACACAATGGTTACTTTTTCTATTGGTAATGATTGTGTTCATCTCTCTCAAGGCAGTTTCTAACTCTTCTGAGCAATTTAAAATCTTGTCCTTGTGAAACCCTGGAAACAAGTCTGTTTAAATATTAGGCTGAACACATTCCAGGACTTGCTCAAATTCAAATTATTTTGTATACTTTTTAGTGCTTGATGAAAAGACTTCATTATTTATGAGAAAATGTGTTTTATCTTGCAAATGGTGTTCAAACATTAGCTAACTATTTTACAGAATGAATGTTTATGAAGCTGACATGACACTATCTCAAAAAACCTGGCAGGTACATTGACCTTTTGCTTGCTTTTCTGAACATTTGTGAATATCACACATTTCTTTCTAATTTATACTAAAGTATGCAAATGTCAATGGTGTGAAAGACCACTGCAGTGGAAAATTTAATATATTACTTTAGTAATGTACTTGAGCTAAATGAGTGAAGATTTAATGGCACATAAAAAACATAATAATTTGTATGACATTTTGAAGTGAATTAAATAATTTTGAACACGATTCTTTAACAATCAGTATTATACTGTTCATTCTTCAACAGGCAGTATTATCCTATATAATAAAAGGCTAATATGCAAATTGTCCCCTCAATCGGGAGTTCGACCAGGGGGCGGGGCCGGCTGGCCAACCGCCAGTGGCCCCTCCCCTCGGCTGGCCCCACCCCCAATTGATCCCCCCAACCTGCGTCCCCTTTCCCTGGCCAGCCCGGCCCAATCAGCCCCGATTGGCGCAGGTGGACCCCACTAGTACATGAATTCATGCACAGGGCCTTTAATAATTTTCATATAGACACAAAGCATAGTGATTACCCTAAACTCAGTATTTTCAAATTCACATATGTAAAGTCATGTAAGCTACAGTCAAAATTACTGGTTGCCAGTTTTATATCTGTTTCTTCAGCTGTACCTTTTGATAATTCAAATTTAAAATATTTTGTAAAGTAGCTTTTATAAACTGTAATGTATTTGCTGCCTTTGTGAGGTGCTGTATAATGTTATAATTTCTCCATGTAAACTGAATGCTTGGACTTTCAATACAGTATTCTAGAAAGCAATAAATTAAAAGAACTTCTTACACATAACAATATTGGATGAATCTCACAGAACTTATTTTGAACATAAAAAGTCAGTAACAAAAGATGTAGTTAGTGTATGATTCCACTATGTGAAATTCAATAAGAAGTAAAACTAACTCAGTTAGAATAGGAATTACTTTTAATGTGTTGGGATATTGACTGAAAAAGAGCATGAAATGTTTTATATCTAGATAGAGGTGTTGGTTACATGCATATACATATATAAAATTACATCAAGATAAACACTTAAGATCAGTACATCTTACAAGTTTTTTTATGCCTCAATAAAAGTATAATTATATATGTATGAATATAGACATACACACATACACATAATTATGTATAATTACATATTATATTTTCATTGAGATATAAATACTGTAAATTGCTCTAATGTATACATACCCACACATTATGTAAGCTTCTTAAACAATGACTTTTAATTGAAATTTCATAGTACACATAATTTTATCTTTGAAATTAGTTTACTTAATCCACAGAACCTAAAGCAGTATGCCTCTACTATAATTTTGGATCTCAACCTAAGAACACATGTTTTACTTATTTACTTTAAAGAATTCCCACCCTTTCCCCCTATGATAGACTACAAAAATATGGTCACAATATGTTACAATTCCTGCCATCAAGAAATGGAGTCTGTTTTATGTAATACCCTTTGTAATACTTATAGCGAAAAATAAAAAAAATAAAAAAAATAAATTAAAAAAAAAAAGAAATGGAGTCTGTTTTTTACTCCTTGAATCTGCACTGGATTTGCAATTTGCTTTTCTAATAGAATGAGGTAGAAGCCACATTATACTAGTTTTGAGCCTAGATCTTCAGGGGCTCTACACTCTTTTGCTTGCTACTTGTGGGATCCTTGCCACTGCCACAATGAAAAAGCCCACACACTGGCCTGCTAGAGAATGAAATATCACATGGAGCCATTTAACCAATCCTCAGATGCCCAGTAGGTGCCCACAGATAAATGAGTTAACTCAACTGAGATTAATTGAGCCTGTCTGTGATCACCAGAACTACCCAGTTAAGCCCAATGCAAATTCACAAACCACATTATCATGAGCTAAGTCAATGGCTGCTATTATAAGTCACTAAGTTTTTGGTTGGTGGGCAACAGAGCAAAAGCTAATTAATGTCAATCCATTATAATTTTTTACCTGAAAGAGTAAATTTTTAGTAAAATACTTCCATCTTTGGGCCACAGTCTATGGTTACTGAGAAATATGAGCATTTGTTAGATCAATACCCTTACCTGAATTGGATTCCTATAGAAAGACTCCTTTCCAGAAGATGGGAATGACATGGCAATAATACGTTCTGGAAGTCAAAATAGTCACTATTATGAATATCATTATAGATGCCAAACAATATGTGACAACTTAATTTACTAATAACCAGACTCCTTTTTCACAGAAAAAAAAAACTTTCAGGGTTGAAAATGATAGAAAAAACTAACTAGCCCTCAAGATAATCAAGATAATATAGTAAATTATCCAGTACAATGACCATTAAAGTCCCCTGTGTTCCCAACTCAGTTGGTTCCAGCCATATGCAAACAGATTTGTGTTGACCTCAGTCTGGAGCTCCCCCTGTAGTGGGAATTTATTTTTTACTTAAACACCAAAGGAAAATGAGAGATCCGGGCTCCAGGGATGTTGGGAACTGCCAGGATGCTTTCCAGTGATCCTGACTCAGAAACCTGATATCTACAAAGCAATGACCTTATTCTCTGGGGTTCTAGGAAAAGAAGAGGTTTCTTTGGAATCCTTTGGACCCAGAATAACTACTCAATAAATTCTAAACCAAACAAATGGAGTCATCTGAAAATCCATTCAACTTCCTGTATTGTAACCAAGTAGACCTTATTTGAGATGACAATAAAAACATTGTCAGGGTTAAATTACAAATATGTCACACTACCATAGTGGCATACTTCTTCATGGATAAACAATGCTTTGAAAGAACATGGCTTAGAGAAGGCAAGAACAACAACAATAAAAACCCCACATAATTACTTACACACACAAAAAAAGTGAAATCAATTTAAGTAAATCAACAGTTAAATTTCACAAACCAGTAACGTAAGTGAGGTCTAAGTCAAATCCATCTTTCTTGTATCGTCGTTTGTTTCCTGAAACCTGAGCATTTAAAAGAATCATTAATTTGTAAAACATAAATCAACATAAAAATAAAGATCATTATATAGATACCTATAACCCTTGCCAGTATTTCCTAAAACACATTTTTCTGAACCATAAACATGTTTTGCCCACTTACCATCCTTCTGGTCAACTTTTCAAGCTGTCTTTCTTCGTAAGCCAAATGAAAAATTCTCATCAGAATGATAAGGCGTAGAGACCGAAGGAGAATTACCAATCTAACAATAAATTAGAAAGATCAATTTTTGCTTTGGAAACGATGTTGTTCTCAATGTGATCTAAGTATAGAGCAGTGGTTCTCAACAAGGGATCATTTTGCACCTCCTACCCCATGTTTCCCACCCAGCCACCTAGGGGACATTTGGCAGTGTCTGGAGATGTTTTTGGTTGTCACAATTGTGTGTGACAGCCCCCCATCTAGTGGCAGCCCCCATAATAAACAACAATCTGATCCCAAATAGCAATAGCGCTGAAGCTGAGAAACTGGTTTAGGGAAATAGTTGTATGATAGACACTTAGAATTTGTAGATTTAACTTTTGTGGTTTAAGATGAGTATTTTTCAGTCTTTTTCCCATCAATACAAACTGAGGATTCTTGTTCACCTCTGTTACTTCCATCAGTAACAGAGGTTCTCTACAGCTGCTAACACATCAGGCAGGCAGCAGGTTGAGATACTTCGCAATGGGCTAGCTGGTGTCCCGCCTACCGTCAGAAAGAAACACAATGGCAGAGAACTGATGGTGGGGACTAGTGCTTCCCTAACTTGAGTGTACATACTGATTCCGTAGGTCTAGAATGGGCCTGAGGCGTTTTTCTTCTTCCATTTTTAGCAAGCGCTTAGGTGATGCTAAGGTTGCTGGTCAGAGGACCATTCTGGCTCCAGTTATTTTCAATCAACTCTAAAACCTATCAGATAATGTCAAATAATGTCGGAACCTGAAGTGAAGTCCTGGGAAGCTGGATAGCAGAAAGAAGCAAGCTATTTGATGAATGAATAAGCCTAGTGAGCCAACCCAACATTTACATCCCAGTACACATTTGCTCTTCTTTTCCTCATTACCAGAGTAGGAAGAGGAAGAACAAAAAGAAAAATCCATCAGTGTCTCATACACATTTTAGTTTTCTAATCCCTAACAGTTCTAACTTTGTCTCAGCTTTCTTAATTTTAAATACACTATCCTGAAAATTCTACCTCTGTATTGCTACCCATGTCATCTAGTTTTATGTTCCATTTGCTGTTCTTTAGAGAATCATCATTGGAGTCATTAAAATTTTGTATATGCTCAAATCAATATTCTCTGGTAGAAAAAACTAGGAATTTCATGTGTCATTTGTGGTTGAAGCTCAAATTCTAATAGTGTGAATTTAAAAATGTGGAGAAGTTGAAGTTACTACAGAGGTAAAGTCCCTAGTTTTTTCTTTGGGTGTTCCATCTTCTTCATTCAACTAAAGATACTTAGCGTGTACACCCTTCGCTGGACCTACCAAGTCTTTAGTTTCCATGTATGTGGAAATTAGTCTAAACATTTCATTTTCAAGCAACTTATCTGGCACAGAATCAGGACATTCAAAGTTAAAAAGATTACACAAAATGAAAGCCACAGAAAATGAAGAAAAAATCTTTGAGAGAGATGAATCATATGTTTCTTACCTGGGAATATCTTTAAAAATCTCATAGTCATAAAAAATATCATTGAAATCAATTATTAGAGTCACTACAATAATGGCAGCATCCATGGAATTAAGTATATCAGAAAAATATGATAGTATCCTGTAGTATAAAACAAAAAAGTACGTTTATGCCCCCCAAAGAAGAGTTGGGGATATTTGTAAGAACACAAAGTATTTGACTCATTCCCATTAAGCATTCTACTTTAATAAATTATTTAAAATTCATTTTATAAACTAGACTAAGGGTATAATATTCATTAATATATGTGTAAAAAGCATCAATTTGTCCATTTAAGTATAGTATGGGCTATAACCAAACCATTAAAGAAGAGGCAAGCATTGCCTTCACATAGGTGCAAGAGAAAGGTAAGATGTTTGGCAGTACTATTGGGCAATAGAAGCTGAACATGACACACTTTTAGAGCAACTGGGACTGTGAAGAATGCACAACAGGAGCTTATGAGAGGAAGAAGGGTCCACAACTTTGGCCTGCAAACTTATCGTCTGGCTTTGCACCTGCAGAGCAATCCCTAACCAATGCTGAACTTCTATCCACTGAACCTTCCTCCCAACATTGGCTACTTCAGCCATGGCACTGGTGCTCCAGGGAAAGCTTTTCCCAAGTCTGGGTAGCCCTTTCAGCCTCTGAGTGGCCTGGGAGTGGGCAGCTGTCCTTAACTCAAAGGCATTAGGATAGTTCACAAGGAAAGGAGAAGGCTTGGGAATTTAGTCCCTAACTCCCACAGCAATAAAACTCCAAGGCGCGGCTCACTCTATGCACCTTCTCAGAAAGCAGAGAAAATCAGCTGCTGCCTCAGTACCAAGCTGATGGAATAACCATGCCTCAGATCTCCTGTGACCTTGACAAAAGTTTTTCTTCTAACTGAGGTAGGGGCTGTTCATGTTCTATTTAACATACTGTCAGCTTTTATTTAGATTCAGTTATTAATGAAATATTAATATTTTATACAAATGTTTCACATACATGTTCCTCTTAATATTTTGTTTGTAGACACATTCCTGTCTGGCTCCATTTTTGCAAACCCAAAAGGGGTTTACTTGTTGAAGAAACCATCTAGAATACACTGTCAGAGACTAGAGGACCAGTTGCAACAATAATTTTAGAGCCCAATCCTATCTAATAATAGACAAACATGGTAATTGACCATACCTTTGCCACACCTCCCATTGGCTAGTCAGCGCGATATGCAAATTAACCGCCAACAAAGATGGCGGCTAATTTGCATACTGCAGGCAGGGCGGGACAGCGCCATCCTGCCTGCCCCACCACCATCCAGGCCTGCTATTTGCGACCTGGGGCGGCGGGCGTCCATGTGTAACCCAACCCAGGGCAGCCGGGAGGTGCAGCAGCGATTGGCCAGCCTGCCGGGCCTCCATCCGGGCATCCCGTGTGGGACCCGACTTGGGGCAGCCGGGCAGGGCAGCAGCGATCCGCTGGCCTGCCTGGGCATCCCGTGTGTGACCCAACCTGGGGCAGCCGAACATGGCAGCAGCGATCCGCTGGCCCACCTGGGCGTCCCGTGTGTGACCCGCCTGGGGCAGTGCCCTGACCCCCAGATCGGCCCTGCTGTGTGCACAACCCAGGGAGGTGGGTCAGGCACCGAGGGATTGGGCCTGCCATCTGCCACCCGGGGAGCGGGCCTAAGCCAGCAGGTGGTTATCTCCCGAGGGGTCCCAGACTGTGAGAGGGCACAAGTGAGGCTGAGGGACACCCCCCTCACCCCCCTTCCCCCGCCAGTGCACAAATTTTTGTGCACCGGGCCTCTAGTCTAGTATAAATTGGGATTTGGATTGTTGTTTCTCTTGTGGACCGTGCCTTCTAGGAGACTTGTTTTAATAAAGAGGGACACATCTGGTTGGGTTGACCTGACAATTATTTGGGGATGCTTTTCATAGCAGTACAAAATAGCTTGATGTGCTTTTAGAAAAATTAATCAAACTTACCCTTCTACAAATACTTGAAGAAGAATATCCATGAAAAAATATAAACCAATCAATAAAGAAATTAAACGATATGCCATTGTTTGATCAGTGGTAAGTAGGTCTGCAATGACGAGGGACACATCCACAAAGACCAGCAAAATTCCAAAAATTCTACAACAAATAAATCAAGAGAATAAAAATAAAGTGGTTTTTTTTACCTATCTTGTTAAACTACATTTAGGCCAATAGTCTGATAAGAAAATGTCATTATTTAAAATTAAACTTGTAGTGGTAGTTGAACTGCATTGCCTTAGAATCTGAAAAAAAGTTACTCAGTTTTCACCCAAAAGAAACAGTTGTTAAGGAAACAAAATTTCCACCAAACCACTTCATGTGATAATGTTCTTTCATCATAAAGACATCAGATCAATACTCCAAAACAAGAACAGATTAGCTGAATAAAAATTACATGCATCCATTCGTAAACTCTTCTTAAAATTTGAGAATTTTATAAGGGCTTCTGTCAATTTCTTATAGTAATTAAACTTCATTAACCTAGATAAATGTAAAGAATTTAGTAAGAGAGAATCGAAGATGGCAGCATAGGTAAACACCGGAGACTGCTGCCGCAAACAACCACTTCAAAAATACAACTAAAAGACGGAACGGACATCACCCAAAACCCCAGGAAGGCTGGCTGAGGAGAGACTCTTCAACTAGAAGGAAAACCAACAGCATTACGAGGCCCAGAGGAGGCGCAGTGTGGAAAATTTAAAGGTACGGTGGTGCGCGCGCAAAGCGGGCTGGTGGCTGAGGGCACGGTTGTCATTTTCAATCAGGAGGGAGTCTCAGACTCGGGGCTACAGATCCGGGCGAGTCTCTAGGGACCCAGACTCAAACGGGAGAAGCAGGACTGTCTGGCTACGGTCCCTCCGAGGTTTGCAGCGGTTGCTGGGACAGAGAGGCAGAGCCTCTGGGGAGGGACTGAGAGCGGCCATAACTGCTCCCTCCACCCCGCCCTGTTGATCCCGCCCCGCCCAAGCCTTGCGCACAGCCATTTGCCGATTGCCTCAGGCAAAGGCTAGAGTAGCACCTCTCCAGAGGACAGAAGTTTTCCATACAGCTGATTCTCACAGCCAGTCAGCCTGGTGGTCAAATCCCTCTAGTATTAACTACAACAAATAAGGCTTAACTAGAACAAGACTGCGCACAAAGACCACAAGGGGGTGCACCAAGAAAGCATAAAAGATACGGAGACAAAAAAACATGACAGAAATGGAGGATATGGAGCTAAGAATCGCAATTTTGAGGGCTTGCAATAAACTTGATGAGAGCCTCACGAAAACTAATGAGACCCTCGATGCTACGATAAAGAAATTAGAAAGTAAGCATACACGGACGGAAATAAAGAATATTATACCCAATAGCAGACCAGAGGAGCACAAGAATCAAACCAAAGATTTGAAATTCGAAGAAGCAAAAAACACCCAACCGGAAAAGCAAAATGAAAAAAGAATCCGAAAGTGTGAAGATAGTGTAAGGAGCCTCTGGGACAGCTTCAAGCGGACTAATATCAGAATTATAGGAGTGCCAGAAGATGAGAGACAGCAAGATATTGAAAACCTATTTGAAGAAATAATGGCAGAAAACTTTCCCCACCTGGTGAAAGAAATGGACTTACAGGTCCAAGAAGCGCAGAGAACCCCAAACAAAAGGAATCCAAAGAGGACCACACCAAGACACATCATCATTAAAATGCCAAGAGCAAAAGACAAAGAGAGAATCTTAAAAGCAGCAAGAGAAAGAGACTCAATTACCTACAAGGGAATACCCATACGACTGTCCGCTGATTTCTCAACAGAAACTTTGCAGGCCAGAAGGGAATGGCAAGAAATATTCAAAGTGCTGAATACCAAGAACCTACAACCAAGAGTACTTTATCCAGCAAAGCTATCATTCAGAATTGAAGGTCAGATAAAGAGCTTCACAGATAAGGAAAAGCTAAAGGAGTTCATCACCACTAAACCAGTATTATACGAAATGCTGAAAAGGTATCCTTAAAGAAGAGGAAGAAGAAAAAGGTAAAGATACAAATTGTGAACAACAAACACGCATCTATCAACAAGTGAATCTAAGAATCAAAGTGAATAAATAATCTGATGTACAGAATGAACTGGTGATTATAATGAATCAGGGACATAGAAAGGGAATGGACTGACTATTCTTGGGGGGGAAAGGGAAATGGGAGATTCGGGAAGAGACTGGACAAAAATCGTGCACCTATGGATGAGGACAGTGGGTGGGGAGTGAGGGCAGAGGGTGGGGCGGGAACTGGGAGGAGGGGAGTTATGGTGGGGGGGAAGAGGAATAAATGTAATCTGAACAATAAAAATTTAATTAAAAAAAAGAATTTAGTAAGAAAAAACAAGTGAAATCATGACTAATATAAGCACTTATAAGATCACTTAGGCTAATAGAATTTTTTTATCAGTGAGATTTTACATATGGATGCTTTTAGAACAAGGCTGGGCACAGGAGAAGGAATTCAATTTCATAAATACATACATGATTGTATACTAAAATATCTCCTAAGCTTTTCTTTTATATACATTTTTAATTTTTTTCTTTTGTTCTTTCTGTTTTTGTTCCTTTTATTTATTGAATTTGTGCTGGGGGTGACATTTGCTAATAAAATTAAATAGATCTCATGTGTACAATTCTATAACACATCATCTGTCTATTGTATTGTGTGTTTACCACCTCAAGTCAAGTCTCCTTCCATCACCATTTATCTCCCTTTTACCCTTTTCTATCTTCCCCCACCTCACTTTCCTTCTGGAAATCACCATACTGTAGTCTGTGTCTATAAGTTTGTTTTTTTCTTAATCCCTTCACCTTTTTCACCCAGTCCCCCAATACTCCCCTCTGACAACTTTCGATCTGTATTCTGTAGCTATGAGTCTGTTTCTATTTTGTTTTTTAGTTTATTTTGTTCATTAGATTCCACATAGAAGTGAAATAATGTTACTTGTCTTTTTCTGATTGCCTTATTTAACTTAGCATAATACTCTCTAGCTCCATCCATGGTGTTGCAAAGGTAAGATTTCCTGCTTTTTTATAGCTGAGTAGTATGCCGTTGTGTGAATGTATCACTGCTTTTTTATCCACTTACCTATTGATGGACACTTGGGCTGCTTCCAAATCTTGGCTATTGTAAATAATGCTGCAATGAACATAGGGGTGCATATATTCTTTCTGATTGGTGTTTCAGGTTTCTTAGGATATATTCCTAGAAGTGGGATCATTGGGTCATATGGCAGCTCCATTTTTAATTATTTTTAGGAAACTCCATACTGTTTTCCACAGTGGCTACACCAATCTGCATTCCCACCAGCAGTGTACTAGGTTTCCTTTTCTCCATGTCCTCGCCAACACTTGTTTGTTGATTTACTGATGATAGCCATTCTGACAGGTATGAGGTGATATATCACTGGTTTTAATTTGCATTTCTCTGATGATTAGTGATGACCATCTTTTCATATGTCTACTGGCCATCTGTATGTCCTCTTGGGAGGAGTGCCTATTCAACTCCTTTGCTTATTTTTTAACTGATAGTTTGCTCTTTGGTGTTGAATTTTATAAGTTTTTTATAAATTTTGGATATTAACATCTTATCAGACACATCATTGGTGAATATGTTCTCTCATTCAGTGAATTGTCTTTTAATTTTGTAGATGCTTTCCTTTGCTGTGCAAAAATGTTTTAGTTTGATGTAGTCTCATTTGTTTATTTTTTCCTTTCCCTTGCCTGAGGAGAAATATCTGAAAAAATATTGTTATGAGAAATGTGCAAGATTTTACTGCCCATGTTTTCTTCTAGGATTTTTACGGGTTTGGGTCTAACACTTAAGTCTTTAATCCATTTTGAGTTCATTCTTTTTTTTTTTTTTAGTTCATTCTTGTGTAAGGTGTAAAACGGTGGTCTAGTTTCATGTGTGTTTTTTTGCATGTATATATAAAATTTTCAGAACACTGTTTATTGAAGAGACTATATTTACCCCATTGTATGTTCTTGCTTATTTTGTCAAATATTAATTGACCATAAAGTCATGGGTTTATTTCTGGGATTTCTATTCTGTTTCATTGGTCTATATATCTGTTTTTATGCTAGTACCATGCTGTTTTGATTACTATGGTCTGATAGTATATTTGATATCAGGTAGCGTGATTCCTCCAACTTTGTTCTTTTTTCACAAGATTGCTGAGGCTACTGGGGTCTTTTGTGGTTCCATACACATTTTTGAATGTTTGTTCTAGTTCTGTGAAATATGCCATTGTTATCTTGATAGGAATTGAGTTGAATATATAAATTACTTTGGGTAGTATGCACATGTTAATGATGTTAATTCTTCCCTTCCATGAACACAGTTTATGCTTCCAATTATTTATATCTTCTTCATTTTCTTTTTCAGTGTCTTATAATTTTCCCAGTACAGGTCTTATAAATCCCTGGTTAAATTTATTCCTTGTATTTTATTAATTTTGATGCAATTGTAAATGGAATTGTTTTCTTAGTTTCCCTTTCTGATAGTTCATTATTGGTATATAAACATTCAACTAATTTCTGGATATTTATTTTGTATCTTGCTATTTTACTGAATTCTTTTATCAATTCTAGTATATTTTTCCATGGATTCTTAAGAGTTCTAAGTGTACAATACTATGTCATCTGCAAATAATGATAGTTTTACTGCTTTCTTTCCAATTTGGATGGCTTTTATTTCTTTATTTTGTCTGATAATTGTGGCTAGGACTTCCTAGCCACATTATGCTGATTAACAATAAACACTATGTTGATTAACAAAGGTGAAAGCGGACATCTTGTTTTCCCCATAAGGGAAATGCTTCTAGTTTTTGCCATTGACTATGATGTTGGCTGTAGTTTGTCATATATGGCCTTTATTACGTTCTGGTATGCTCCCTCTATTCCCACTTTGCTGAGAGTTGTTATCATAAGTGAGTGTTGGATTTTATTAAATGCTTTTTCTGTATCTATTGATATGATCATG